CTATCAACCATTAACAATAATGCGTTTCTTTAATTAGGAAGACGCCCGCAATGTGCTGATTATTTTCTGGCATTAAAACACTTCTATCGCTGAATAGTATAATACTTACACATTCCAAAGAAGAAATCTTTTATAAGCATGCACGAAAAATATAATAAAAAAATTAATCACTGTGACTTGTTAGTTATTTTCAACGAAATCTGTATACAAATATATATATATATATATATATATATATATATATATATATATATAGATAGATAGATAGATAGATAGATAGATAGATAGATAGATAGATCAAACGCACACACAAACATGCGCACAAAAAACAAATATATATTTACATATAAAAATATATATGTGTGAAACCCATACACAAACACACACACACACTCACACACATATATATATATATATATATATGTGTGTGTGTGTGTGTGCGCGTGTGTGTGTGTGCATTTGTGCAGTAATCCCACGATAAGAAACTTTCCATTAAGTTTTTTTCATCTTATTTTTTTTTTTGCCTGCGTACAAGAGATTTCGTTTTTGGACATCGAGAATATAAGAAATGTCCAAATGATATTTGGATCCGTGCGATGTTGTTTCATCTATCAACCATTATCAAGGGTGTTTTTGTTTCTCTTAATATGTACATCGTGATGCTATTTTTTTTTTTTTTAGTAATAGAAAAGTTTTATTTCCCGAACACATTTAGAACATTGTCTTCATAATTAATATTATTCAAAGTTTTGTTTCTTTTTTTAATCATTATTATGGCTTCAATTTTGATAATAAAAAAAAGTCACTTTCTGATCATGACAAACGTGTTCAAATCTCACTATGGTCGATTTGTCAGGTATGTGTCAGGATTATCCAGCATTCGGTGCTATATAGGAGGACTGGTATTACATAACAGTTCAGAACTCTTTTCGTTGTTTTTAATGATATTTCTGCTTCATAAACGTTTGAGTCCTGCGTTCCTGGACGATTTTAACTTTTCTACTTGAGCTGCTGAGTCAACATTTGCAAATAATTCTTATGTAATGTTTCGCGGTAGATATAAAAATAGTTACAAGTGTTTATCCACCGTTTAACCGGTGGTTGGACATTAAGTCATTTTTCTCTACCATCGTTCAACCGGTGGCTGGGCTTTTCGTCATTTTTCTGTAAAGCGGTGGTCAGGACACAAAAGGTTAATACTTTGCCTCGCATTTGGAAGTCATCATTTGCTATCCCAATATGCCTTCGGGTAACAGTGTCGTATATTACATTCTCTGTTAAAACACTTTCCAGATATCTATTACGTTTAAGAAATAAGGACAATGCTAAAAAAAAACCCCAAACAAACCTCATTATGCTAATTCATTTTCTGTTTGCTATTATTTTAATCGGGAGAAAAAAAAGCGGTTTCCACTATTCAAGTTTCATACACACCAGGAGATACGTGACATTCATCGGTCGAAAAATAACGACAAAAACAATAAAGCGAGTTTCAAAAGACAGAGAAATCCTTGCTATTCATCCAAATACGCGTGTGACCCCCGAATTTTCACTTATAAAAATAATTTTATCATGTACCTCGTGTATCATGCGAGTTCCTTTTTTGAGAGAGAGCAAGTTACAATAGACTAACCTCTTTGCCTCTATCACTTTATCCTATCTCCTAGTTAAATAAGTTAAAAAAGTAAAAGACAATGATAAAAGTATCGTAAGTAACGCTTTACTCGCTGTGTAAACGCATACAGCCATAAACAATCAAACTAGAAGCAGTTAAACATCTTATAAACGAAAACAATGGAAAATATGTATATTCGCTACGTTTATATTTTATAATACGATACGATAATAATTGTTCTTAAAGGAATTCCATCAATAAAAACATATTGTGTAAGCATTGCTCGGGGTTAAATTGTTTCAATATTTTAGATATTCAGTAAATTTCCTATGGCCGTAATAACTTTCAAATAGTATGACATTGTTCCCAAATCTAATAATCAAACAAAAGCTGGGATGAAGCGCCAAAGCTTGATTCAATAGCAAGTGAAAACACATGAACGCCCCCTCCTTCTTCACAGGTTTACTTTAAGGCTAGCGTTAATACGAGGTTCTTCGGGGATTTTTCCCTTTTAACGCTTCAATAATCATTCTCAATCTTTGCATCAAAGTTTATTTGAATGCCAATTTAGGATGGAATTATATGAAGAAACTATTGGCTAAATGGCAAAAGCCGATTTTGGACCTAGTTTGCCGCGGATTTCGTCCACTTAATTGAAATAATCTAAACCAAATATTCACGCAAGTCAATTTGTGTGTCATATGTAATTTAGATGGTAAATTTGGAAAGCATCGGATGAAAAACTGGGGAGTTATGGCCCCAAAACAGGCTTTTTGAACAGTTTTTCGTGGTTTTTCTTTATATGTGGTAAAGCGAGCAGGACTAAAACGACGCTATCTTATTTCTTGGACGATGGCAAAGTTTTTCTGACATGTTTGAAGAAAATCGGATAAAAAATCAGGAAGTTATTCAAGTTTTTATTTTAAATATTGTGAATAACCAATTTTTTTTTGCAATGTTTTGTGTGAAGCTAATGTTCCTGGAAAACTATCAAGCACTTTACAAAAACCTCGTAACATGAGCTAGGTTTTGCATTAAGTGCAAAGAACATTAACTCATCCAGTAAATTTTTTGTTCGCGTGTAACTTTGTCTTGGTTTTTGTAAAAAATCGAACCCATCTTCAGTTTTATCGATTTTCCTGCTAAACTTGTAGGGATCTGGAGATTGAAACGTTGGTCTTGACCTAATAAAGTAAATTTGCAATTGTACAATTTCATCGAAATCGGTCGAGAAATTTAGACGTGCATAAATAGCATACACATACACAGAAAGACACACAGAGATAAACACGCAGACAAACAGACAGAGAAATGTTCTGTTTTATAGATATAGGTGGAATGATCTATTATGACATGTCTCTAATTTGGATTTAGATACATTGTATTTATTTTCAATTTTTCTATTTGAATTATTTCCTTATATTACGTATGATCCGTTATTATATATAATTAGGTTACAATAAAATTTATATTTTATATAAATACTACCTTATAGAAATTGAGATGTCGTAGAGTGGGGGCGCCCCCGTATCATAGATTCGGGGGGGGGGCACGAAACACATGCACCGGCCATGGCTCTTACAGATTCTGAAGATGCGATCCACATATCTGTATCCAGTGTCGCTTTATAAGCGTACTGATTTCTCACGCAATAATAATGATAATAATAATAATAATAATGATAATAATAATAATCAAATAATAATAATAATAACAGGGGATTAGTTCAACTACAGAGGATTAATTCAACTAACAGAGTATTAATTCAACAGGAACTGTCTTACAAGACTACAAAAATTGGTCTTCAAAGATAGCTGGAAGGTACAGAAGACTGGATGAGGATCTGTGTCAAAGAACATGAAAGAAATAAAAAAACTTTATTAAGTAATAAATAGAGCCAAGTAATTCAAAAGGGAATTTCAAATGAGCGAGGAAGTGCAAATAAGCCATAATACATCTACTGCAGCGGCAAAGAACCTAAAAATCAAATGCAATGCACCAAATGCAGAAACGATGGCACGGTAAGCTTCTTCAGAGTCAATACTCTACCCGCAAAAAAAGCAAGCTGATGTTGGCAAACCCGCACCCATCAATGCTTACCTAGAACAAGGTTGAAAGCTGAAATCGAAGGCTTTATTTTTGATGCACAGGGCCAATGCTTGCTAACTAGAAATTATCAAGCAAACATATGGAAAATTGTGCTCACCCCAAAAGCAGATTCTGTGATAAATATCCAGAAGCAATTCACCATCTTGTATCAGGTTGCACAGTGTTAGCAGCAAATAGAATATTCGGCATGATAGAGTGGGCCAATATATGCACTGGAAAATCTGCAAATTCAACGAGAAAGAAACTGAAAGAAATTGGTATGAACACCCAGTTACCAGAGATAGGACCTGTTACAATTTTATTGGACTACACAATACACACAGACAGAACAACCAAAGCCAACCGCCCAGACATTGTTATTAGAGACCGAAAACAAAAAAAAAGTGCCTCCCTATTGATGTGACAATCCCTGTGGACTGCAATGTATCTGAAGATCTTCAAAAAGCTATCAAAATACAAGGACCTTGAAATCGAAATCTCAAAAATGTGGCACATGGGAACATCAACAATCCCTGTTGAAGTTGGTGCCCTCCGATTGGTTGAAAATGATTCCAGTAGACTAATTGAAGGGATTTCTGGAAGCCCATGCCTTAAAGAAATACAAAAATATTGTTCTCACGAGTACAACCCACATTTACGAAGGGGGTTATCGATGTAAAATACGTTTTTTTTTTTTTGTTTTTTTTTTTTGTCAGTGGAAAATGTCATGATGACATTTCTAACCTTAGGTCTCTGGGCGGGACCCGGAACGAAATGTGTACACGCCAGAAATCAAAGGAAATAAAATAATAATAATAATAATAATAATAATAATAATAATAATAATATAAAGGAGTCGTAGATAGATTTTGATGTGCATTCGAAATAAGCTTTGTTCTGTATAAAATGAACATACCTTTGATGAACACTGACATTTTTGTTAAACATTTCATTGCTGCTAGAAAATAATATTTACGCCGACTAAGATGAATGTCTTAAGAATTTCTGACGCAGTGATTTTTTGCCAAAGCCGATAGAAGTCAGACATTAAATGGGAAGTTATATCTGATCGGTATTTCATTTGGCCATGGCGGGTGAAGATGAAACGAACCGCGTATAAGACATGCATGCTAGTGTTACTAACTTTTTCGACCTGCATCGTCCATTGCCCGTGACCATACCCTGTATGCTTCACACATAAACGCCATTTTCAAGCCAACGGTCTTTCACTCCGGCTGATCGGCCATCTTATTAAAACGTCGTAAAAGCGACCAGCGCCATGTGTCCCCTGCTTCAC